AAGAAGAAGAAGAAGAAGAAGAAGAAGAAGAAGAAGAAGAAGAAGAAGAAGAAGAAGAAGAAGAAGAAGAAGAAGAAGAAGAAGAAGAAGAAGAAGAAGAAGAAGAAGAAGAAGAAGAAGAAGAAGAAGAAGAAGAAGAAGAAGAAGAAGAAGAAGAAGAAGAAGAAGAAGAAGAAGAAGAAGAGAAGAAGAAGAAGAAGAAGAAGAAGAAGAAAGAAGAAGAAGAAAGAAGAAGAAGAAGAAGAAGAAGAAGAAGAAGAAGAGAAGAAGAAGAAGAAGAAGAAGAAGAAGAAGAAGAAGAAGAAGAAGAAGAAGAAGAAGAAGAAGAAGAAGAAGAAGAAGAAGAAGGAAGAAGAAGAAGAAGAAGAAGAAGAAGAAGAAGAAGAAGAAGAAGAAGAAGAAGAAGAGAAGAAGAAGAAGAAGAAGAAGAAGAAGAAGAAGAAGAAGAAAGAAGAAGAAGAAGAAGAAGAAGAAGAAGAAGAAGAAGAAGAAGAAGAAGAAGAAGAAGAAGAAGAAGAAGAAGAAGAAGAAGAAGAAGAAGAAGAAGAAGAAGAAGAAAGAAGAAGAAGAAGAAGAAGAAGAAGAAGAAGAAGAAGAAGAAGAAGGAGAAGAAGAAGAAGAAGAAGAAGAAGAAGAAGAAGAAGAAGAAGAAGAAGAAGAAGAAGAAGAAGAAGAAGAAGAAGAAGAAGAAGAAGAAGAAGAAGAAGAAGAAAAGAAGGAGAAGAAGGAGAAGAAGAAGAAGAAGAGAAGAAGAAGAAGAAGAAGAAGAAGAAGAAGAAGAAGAAGAAGAAGGAGAAGAAGAAGAAGAAGAAGAAGAAGAAGAAGAAGAAGAAGAAGAAGAAGAAGAAGAAGAAGAAGAAGAAGAAGAAGAAGAAGAAGAAGAAGAAGAAGAAGAAGAAGAAGAAGAAGAAGGACGAAGAATCCGCAGCAGAAGATAGAAGATAAGAAGACATTCCCCTAAGTAGTTAGACGAATCAGAGAAGTCATAAGAAGAAGAAGAAGAAGACATTTTCCCTATCACCAGGCAGACGTATCATGCAGTCATATGCAGATAAGAACGACATTCCTCTAAGTAGTTACATTTATAGCCAGCATACAGAAATGAATGTACCGCGATTATGTACATGGGGGAACTGGTGTTTTATTGCTGTGTATTTATGGCATATAATATGCACGCATTCGTTGCAGATTGATCTATTTCTGTCAAGTCACCGCTTGGAACATTTAATATCCATACGTTCGTTACAAATTGATTTGTGTGAAAACAACCATCATTACCGTATGCTGTATTATTTTCAGGAAAGGGAAGGTGATGTTGGGGTGCCCCCCCCCCCTGTCCCCCCTCCTCACTTTTTGCTTCCTCATTTTCTTCTTCGTGTTCACCAGCTGTAAACTGGAGGAAAATCCTAGCTGTTCATCCACTTTTGGACTGCAGAACCTGAGTGTTGCGTGTCATCCGTTTTACAGATCTGACTCATTTGTATGCAGACTGCTTCAGTGTGAACACAATATACAACACGCATGGCGCGTGATAATATATTTTTTTAGCTGGCTTTTTTACAGTATAACTACTCAGGACAAACTGGTCTATCGATTGATCGATCGTTCCATCGATCCATTGACTAAGCACAAGGCCAATTAAACATGAAAGCCCAATGGAGGCAATGAAACCACAAACACAAGTACATCCTATCTCTTTGTCAGAACCTTTATCAACGAACTTTAAAAAAAAAAAGGATAAGGTCAACACAAAACCAGAAATATCTAACAGGGGAAAATTGTCAGGAAGAGCTATAGGAAAGGAAACGATGGAGGTTAGAAAAAGGTAAGAAGAGAGATGATGAAAGGAGGAGGGGCGGTATGAACAAAGTGAGCAAATAAAAAAATAACAGTTAGATAAAGATATGCTGAATATTGATCCCTGCAAAGCTGAAATATTGAAGCTATGATTTTCCATACAGATGCGACTGATTTTATCACTGGTGTTAGGAGTTTACGTGCACGCACGTACGCAAGCACACACGCACGCACGCACACACACACACACAATACATGTCCCTGGTATTCAGAACTGTTAAAGTGAATAGAGAATAAGACAGGTCAAAACCGTCAAGTGAGCTTGTACGCGCCTTTTCCTCACCTTCCTCCTTCTCCCTCCTCGACCCCCGCTTTCCACCCCCACCCCCTTCCCCCCGATAGCTTTCTTGTCACATCTGGTGCAGTGTTTAGTAATTACTTGATATAGTCGATTGAGGACACCCCAATTCTCCCCACAAACGTTACCAATTTGATCCAGTCCTTTGACATGTCTAACATTGCTAGAACAAATTGAAATACCTACTATAGCATCATCAAAAATGGTGTCTCATCTCATCATCTCATTACATGATGATCCTCCGGTGCTTTGGGGATGTCAAGGTGAAGCATTTTACATATATTTAGGAGAAAGCCCGTCTGTGTGCTTCATAAATTGGGATTCCCATTGACTCCGTAATTCCCA